TCTTGGCAAGGACAAAGGAATTTGCTGCCTCATGTTCTAAATCCTTCCTACATCTCTGGGGAAAATCAAAAAAAGCTCCCTGTGTGACTGGGAAAAGGAAGGAGGGAAATGTGGTGTCTCCTTCCTTGTGAGCCTTGCTAGGTCCCACCAGCTCTGCCCATCTGTGTCAGCTGGCTTCCAAGAGGAGGATTTTGTCCTCCCACAGATCCAGGGCCAGTCCAAAGCCCCACCAGCATTGCCCTGACCTTTAATGAATCTCGCAGTGACTGTGGCTCGTTCTTGCTCTCTGCAGCAGTCACTGGCCAGGTGGCCTTGGAGCAGCAGCCCAGGGAAGTGACCGTGCAAGAGGGAGATAAATTCACCTTCCACTGCAGCATGAAGGAAGGTTATATGTGGAACTACTTCATGTACTGGTACCGTCAGGGCGCGCAGGGCTCTCTGGAATGGATTAGCAGGGATGGTAGTGCCTATGGAGACGGTTTCCAAGATCGCTTTGTGGGATCAGTGCAGCCGTCCAAGAACAGCTTCACACTGCAGCTCGTGGCAGCAAGCCCAGGCGATGCAGCAACGTATTACTGTGGAGCAAGAATCACCCTGGAGCAGCTCTGCAGCAGAGTGAACCAAAAACCAGCAGATGGGGAAGACAGATCTCTCAGCATTTCTTTCTGGCAGCTGCTGCCCAGGGCTGTTCTCAGGCAATGGCAGGTGCAGGAAACGTCCCTCTGGCTGGGTGGCACTAAAAGGCACTGGAGGAGGAGGGCTGCGAGAAGGGCTGATACCATTGATGGTGCAGGAGGATCTGTGCTGGGAGCTGCAGAGGCTGCAGTTTGGGGAAGTGCAGGGTTAGTGCACCTTGACAGGGCTTCTGTCCAGCACAGCCTCATTTCTCCTCTGTGCCTTGCCTTGGTTCTCAGCCTTTTTTCCTCAGGGACAGTCAACATGGTTTGGGAAGTGGGGATTGGGCTTAGCCACATTGACAGCATTCTACAATGAGACAAAGGGTCTTGCTGAGTGAGGAAACACGGGATGCTCTGCATTCTTTATTCAGTTGAGCTCCCAGCACTGACTTCCATGGAAACATTCTGCACAAATCCTTTCATTATGGCTATGGTCCAGTGACATGGATTGTGCAAGGGGAGATATTCCTCTTCCTGGCCTCTTCTCCAGGGCTGTGGGAAATGAAATTCCCGAAGGCTGATCTGGCTGCTGAAGCCTGAGGTGAATAAAGCATTCAGGACCTCAGCCCTGTCCCATATCCTCTGTCACCTGGTCCCCATCCCATTCAGCACTGGGCCCACGTTTTCCCAGCCTCATTTGTCCATGCAGCCTCCTGGC